ATTTCTGCCTTGATTTTTGTTATTTCTTCTTGTCTGCAGGGTTTGGGTTTTGTTTGCTGTTGCTAAGACATGCAAAATTTTAAAGCGTCAGTGATGTGGAAATGTTGGGACTCTGGTGTACTACTAGTGGGAAAGTAAAATGGTATGACGACTATGAACTCTAATAGAGAAATTCCTCAAAAATACTAACCAAAATTAACATATGAGCCAGGGATTTCACGTCTGGGTATATAACCAAATGATTTGAAGAAAGAATTTCTTTGTGTGTATGTGAGATGCTGGGGATGGCACTCGTGGTCTTGCCCATGCTAAGAGTTCTACCACTGATCTATTTCCAACATCGAAAGTGCAATTTTGAAGAGATATGTGCACACCCATGTTTACTTTAGCATCATTCAGAAGCATGAAAGGGTCAAAACAGCTGCAGTGTCTGCTGATAAGACAAGTGGATAAAGAAAATGTGATAGGGACTGGAGAGATGGCTCAGTGGTTAAGAACACTGACTGCTTTTGCAGAGGACCCAGGTTTGGTTCTCAACATCCACATGGCAGCTAACAATTGTCCTTAACTCCAGTTCCAGGGGATCCAATGCCCTCTTCTGGTCTCTGTGGGCATTGCATAGCATGGCACACAACATACATCAGGCAAAACACTTATATACATAAAATTAAATAAATTTTAAAATGTCAAAAAATATTATTTGTTCTTCTTTAAATTTTTTAAATTTAATTGTATGTGTGTGGGCCCGAGTGTATGTAGTGATTGTATGTGCAGATGCTTGCAGAAGCCAGAAGAGGACATCCAATCCTCTGGAACTGGAGCTACAGGTGATCATGAGTTGCTAGATATGCGTGCTGGATGCTGGAAATGAAGGCTAAGTCTTCTGCATGAGCAGTAACTGCTCTTAACTGCTGAGCCTTCTCTCCAGCCCAGTATTACTCAGTTTTAAAAGAACAAAGAAGGTACTCATGGTAGCATGTACCTGTTAGTCCCAGTTAGGAGACTGCAGTGGGAGGACTGCTTGAGCCCAGGAATTCAAGGTCGATGTAGGGAACAGAGGGAGACCCTATCCCAAACAAAATATGAAAAAACAACCTTTAAACTGAAAAGAAATGGTAAATAATAAAACCTGCCTGAGGATGGAGGTGTGGCTCAGTGGTACTGCAATTGCTAGGATGTGAGTCTCAGGGTTGGAGCCCTAGCTCTGCAAAAACAGACAAAAACTACAAAAGACTTTTCCCCGACTCATCACTGTTTTACATTGTTAAACAGAAAGTTTCTTTTTTTTTTTTCTTTCTTTTCTTTTTTTTTTTTTTTAGGCTCATGCCAGAACAGAACACATTAGTGAGTCATAAACTTTCTGTTTTTTTTTCTAACTCTTGACTGGCTCAGGCAAGTTTGTTCTTAGACCAGTTTAGATCAAATGCAGAAATTCTTCCCATATGCTAAATATAGTACTGGCATGCTTGAGAAATAATCGATGAAAGTGATTTTAAAGCATACTGTACATGGACTAAAAACACTATGAGTCAGGTGTGGGGGAGGGATGCCTGTAATTCTAGCACTTGGGAGGCTGACCATCTGAAGTTCAAGGCCAGCCTTGAAAACAAAACAGGACAACCCCTCCCCGCAAATTACCTTTAATCCCAGCACTAGGGAGACAGAGACAGGAAGAGGCGTGTGATCTCTGGGAGTCTGAGGCCAGCTAGAGCTACATAGTGTGACCCTGTCTCAAAAAAAAAACTAAACAAGGGACTGGACACGGCGACTATCAACCGTCTGTAACTCCAGTTCCAGGGCATTGGACGCCCTTGCCTGTCCTCTACGTGCATTGCAAGACACAGGTGCACTTACATACATGCAGGCATAACACTCATACATACAAAAAATAAAAATATAAAAATTAGAAACAACCCCCCCCCCAGAAAAAAAGCGGATGGGGCGGGGCAAGCATCTAGCAATTGAGTTAATGTTATTTTGCCTCATTCAACTCTATGGACTAAACCCAGTCCTGGCACTGGGCCCCTGGATTTCATGCCTCAACTTTCCAACAAACTGAGGTGCTTCCCAGCGACAGGCCTCGGTGTCTTCTTCCAGTCTGCTCTCCGCCCTCTCCTTCCAGCAGCAAACTATTCCCACTCACCTGACGCAGAGATATCTTTGAATCAACACAGATTTCCTTGGCTGGCGAGCACAGTCTTTCCTGCTGCCCTCCTCTGACCTCTAGACATTGCTCTTCAAAGCCAGATAAGAATGTGTTTGTCCTTTACCGGGAAGGGATCTGTGGAAAAAACTCGATGCATTTATTACCACGACAACACGTATGTTCCTGGCCCAAGTACTAAACGCTAATCGCTGATTCAGGTTATCTTCATCAAAAGCCGGGTAAAGCTGGCGCTAGTACTCGCCGTAAGCTCCAGGTGAGGGCACTGAGACTCGGAGCAGTGATGCGCAGGCGGGGTCCAGGTCGGCCCACCCAGAGGGGCGAGCACCCAGCTTAGCCTTGGGCTAAGCGGCGCGCGCTTCGAAGGCCCCCGCCCAGAGAAGTACCTACTAAGACACCGTTCCTAGTGACTGGCCGGAGGTATTCCGGAGCCTCAAGCCTGCTGGCTGCTTACACGCGGCCCAGACGAACACGTGATCGCAAGGGGGCGGAGCCCGGTGACAGCCCCGCCCCCGGCCGGTTAACTGGTGGCTGGAGCGCGGGCGCGCAGTCCTCGGAGCAGCAACAGCGGTGTGGGCAGCGGTGCAGGAGCCCGCGGTCATGGCCACCGTGCGGGAGAAGGCGGCGGCGCTGAACCTGTCGGCTCTGCACAGCCCCGCGCACAAACCTCCGGGTGGGTACGCAGGGGCGCCGGCTGCTGCGAGGAGGTCGGTGTGCTCCGGGCGGGAGGCAATGGGGCTAGGCTCGGCTCGGTCCGGCGCGCTCAGCTGCGGCCGCGAGGATCCGCTCCCTCCCCGGCTGGTGGGCTGCAGCCGCCGACCCCTGCGCAGGCAGAGCCCAGCTTTTTAGTGGGTTTCCAGACTTCACCCGCTACGTGTCAGCGTTGGCTGTGGCGCCCCGGCTTGGGCTCCATGTCTTGACTGGTGGCAAGTCTGCAATTTTGGATAACTCTGCCGGGTCTAGAGCACCAGCGCTGGCTGCACGGTAGGAACAGGGGCCGGGGTGGTTCCCCAGACTCTGGGAGAAAATGACGTTTGTGTTGTGTAAATTGAATACCTAAGGTGTAAGTGGATAAGCAGTGAATCCGTGTTTGACCTTTTTTTCCCCTTTGATAGTTATTTAACATTGGGAGGGAGATAAAGATAGTGATCATTAGGGGCGGGTTTAGGATCTTCAGATGTGCAAACGAATGAATCGAATTAGATGATCAGCTATAAAATTCTGACCCTATCATATCTAATTCCTCAAATAGGATGAGTCAGATGACTTCATATATTCAGATAACGATGGCTGTATTGGTTTATTTGGATAAGTTGTCACCTTTTCCCCTATCTGGAGCTGTAGTGAGTGTTGGAAGAATTGGTTCCCTACCTGACAAAGCTCTTCATTTATAAAATGTCAAACTAGGCCTGGAGTGGTGGCGCACGCCTTTAATCCCAGCAGAGGCAGGCGGATCTCTGAGTTCAAGGCCAGCCTGGTCTACATAGTGAGTTCAAGGACAGCTGGGGCTACAGGGAGACCCTGACTCAAAGGGACCAAAAAAAAAAAAAAAATCAACCTGTGTAACAGTGATTCCTTCCTCTATTTGGAAGGGTGCATCTAGGGGGCCTGGAGAGATGATTCAGTGGTTGAGAGCACTGACTGCTCTTGGAGAGTCCCAGGGTTCAGTTCCCGCCACGCACATGGCAGTTGGCAACTATCTGTAACTCCAGTTCTAGGGGACCAGACACCCTCTCTGGTCTCTATAGGCACTGCATACACGTGCTGCACATACATTCGGGCAAAACACTCATACAAAACACAATAAAATCCTTTTTTAAAAAGGGTTCAGCTCATTGACCCCACTCTTTTCTTTTTTTTTTTTTTTCCCGAGACAGGGTCTCTCTGTAGCCCCAGCTGGCCTGGAACTCACTATGTAGACCAGGCTGACCTTGAACTCAAAGAGCCTGCCTCTGCCTCCCAAGTGGCAGAGGCATGCACCACCAAGCCCAGCCAGTGGCCTCACACGTGGTTTTGACTTATTAATTAATGCCCCTTTAACTTCCAAAATCTAATGATAAATTGTGCTAGAGAACCACTTAGCAGTTGCGCTTTTCTAATATAAGATTGATCATCTTCAGCTTTCAATTTAAAGGCTATGTTCATCCCATCACCTTGATTTACATTGTGAAGAGAAGGAAAATACTGAAGCATTTGGGAATTTAAAACCAAATGATACTGAAAATTCTTGAAACAACTTTAGGATTTTTCTGGGTAAATGAGATTCCCAAATTTCACTTGATTAAAAAAACATGATGGTTCTTTGTAACAGCTGAAATATTAACTTTGGACTTTGGGCATTTCTGTACAGATTTTTAGATCCTATGAGGAAATAAATTAAAAATTAAGTAGATGGGGACTGGAGAGATGGCTCAGTGGTTAAGAGCACTGGCTGCTTTTGCAGAGGATCTGAGTTCGAGTCCCAGCACCCACATGGAGACGAACAACTGTCTGTAACTCCAGTTCCAGGGGAATGCGATGTCTTCTGATCTCCAAGGGCATTGTATGACATAGGTACACTTACATACATGCAGGCAATACACTATAACACATCAAATAAAAATAAATAAAAAAATTTTTTTGGTCTTTTTGAGACGGGGTAGGGTCTCTCTGTAGTCCCAGCTGGCCTGGAACTCACTATGTAGACCAGGCTGGCCTTGAACTCACAGAGATCCACCTGCCTCTGCCTCCCAAGTGCTGGGCTCAAAGGCGTGTGCCGCCATACCTGGCATAATTTTTTTTTTTAGTTAGGTAGATGGCTTTCAGAGAGAAGAGTTGACCTGCCGGTTAGCAGTTTTTAACTGAAGGAAGAGACTGTCCTGTACACCAGGTGCAGTGGGTGTAGAGGGCCCACTGCCTGTTCTCCTTGGTCTGCTGCTATAGCTGGAATTCCTACCTGCTAGGGTTTGTTTACTAAACCTCTTCCACCCTGTTGCCTTGTCACAGTCCTCCTGAGCAAGGTAATGGGAGCCTAGGGTTTTGGTTCCTTGCCATTCCCTTTCTGTGTATTCTGGCAAGCAGCTTTGTAGTTTCCCCTTTCCAGGGATTAGTAACTCTTTCATACCTTAAATAAGCTTTAAGCACAACCAGGAATCTGATTTTTGTAGAAGAAATAAGATTTTTATGCTAATCTCCAGCCAGAATTTCAGACTCTTGTCTTTTAATATAGACAAACAGGAAAGTGGTATGCTCTCCTGTTATCCCTTTATGCTGTAACCTAATTCTTTGAATTTGCTGGTGTCACTTTTCCAGGGAGCTCAGAGTACTTCCCATATGCTGTCATTAGCCTGCGTGACTTAAAGCGGGGACCAGTACCTGCTTTTGTTGATATTTCTCTTAACATGTCTTAAAGTTGCTCCTGTTGGAAGAGACTTGTTTTGTACTTGCTGTCAGCCTTCTTTTCAGAGGCAACCTCAGAGTCAGCATATCTCTTATGCCAAATAGGAACATAAACTTTGGACTATCAAAACCAATATCCAGTAGAAGTGTTGCAATATTAGTTTTGGTCACACAGGAAGGTTTTTTTCCATTCAGCCATAGTTACCCAGTTTTAACACAACAAGCACAAACCTTTTTAACTTTTATTTTTCATGAAGTTTCAGTTATTATCTAATAAACATTTCTCTGAGTAGTGTTTAAAAAACTGCTGTGGAAAATTTTTTTACTGTGTTGGGGATGGAACTCGGAGCTTTGTATACATACTAGACAAGTGCTCTACCACTGAGCTACCCCCCTACCTCTTGTTTTGTTTTGGTTTTTTGTTTGTTTTCTTTGAGACAGAATTTTCTATTGTAGCTCAAATTGGAGACACACCCTCTTGCCTTAGTCTCCTGAATGCTGGGATTACAGGTGTGTACTACCACCTCTGGTGAAAAAATATATATTTTTTTATCTTGGTCTTTTTGAGACAGTCTCCCTGTAACTCCACCTGGCCTGGAGCTCACTCTGTAGGCTAAGCTGGCCTCAGTCTCTCAAAGGTCTGCCTGCCTCTGCCTCCTGAGTGCTGGGACTAAAGGCATGCACCACCATGCCCAGCTACTTGGTTTCTCTTACCTTACTTGAGTCAACTGGTATTGAGACATGATTGTTAACTGGAAAGATCCATACTTAGATTTCCTTCGTTTTTTGTCTAGCATCCATTTTGTCTTCCATTATCCTATTATATTGCATTAAGTTGTCCTGTCTCCTTAGGCTCCTCTAAATCGTGACAGTTTCCTCCCTGGTTTTAGCTAGATATATGCTTATTGCTGGACATTGTGTTAGCCACGTTATCATATGCGGTATCATGAACCTTACCATAGCTGAGAGAGGTGGAGTTAACTCTTTTTTGTAACAGAAGAGTTAGGTAGTTTGCTCAAGGTTGTGTTATTAGTAAATGGTGAATCTAAAATGGAATGCAGGTCCCTGGGGGATTCCCAAGTCTGTTCTTTTTCTTTGTATATGTAGACTCTAGCACTGTGCCAGCTACATTAGCTCAAGTTTCCATACCTAAATAGTATTTAGTCAACTCAAGGTGGGTTGTTTGGGGATTTTGTTTGTTTGTTTGTTTTTGCTTTTGTTTTTTTTTTTAGCAGCATTTCTAGGAGCCAATAGTGCCTTCCACCTTGTTGTGATCACCAGAGATGTCTCCAGATGTGTGGTGTAAGATGACCCACTGGGTTAACTTTTAAAAATGGTTTTTAGTAAGCAATAATCAACAACTAACAAATGTTCATTAACCAATGTTAAGGCAACATTGAGACAATCTATAAACAGTTAAAGGTCTGGAGAGATGGCTCAGCAGTTAAGAGCACTGACTGTTCTTGCAGAGAACCCAGGTTCAATTCCGAGCACGCACATGGCAGCTAACAACCATCTGTAACGCCAGTTCCAGAAGGATCCAATGCCTTCTGACTTCCGTAGGCATTGCACAATACAGATACACTTATACCCATGCAGGCAGTACACTCATACACATAAAATAAAAATAATAATTTATCTGAGGAGGACAGAGAGGCTGTCCCATCCCCTGGGACCTGAGTTACGGACAGTTGTTAGCTGCCATGTGGGTGCTGGGATTCGAGCCCAGGTCTTCTGGAAGAACAGTCAGTGTTCTTAACTGCTGAGCCATCTCTCCAGCCCCTAAATAAAATATTTTTTAAAAACTGATTAAAGACTGGCGTGATGGCTCAGCAGTTAAGAACACTGACTTTTTTTTTTTACTACCTAGGTTCCATCTAGCACTTGGGCGCATGTACAAGCTGGGCATGGTGGTGCACACCTGAACTCAGGAGGTTGAGGCAGGAGGATCAGGAATTCGATGCCAGTCTCAGCTACGTATGTTGCCCACCTGGCCTATGAAAGGCAGTGTCTCAACAAAATAAATGAAAAAGAGCATGTGTAATCTTAGAGATCTAGTTTAAAGTGATCTACTCCACAAAGGGAGAAAAATAGATTATTTACAAGTAATAGCATTTAAGACTGGGCGTGGTGGTGCACGACTTTAATCCCAGCACTTTGGAGGCAGAGGCAGGCAGCTCTCTATGAGTTCAAGGCCAACCTGGTCTACATAGTGAGTTCCAGGACAGCTGGGGCTACAGGGAGGCCCTGTCTCAAAAAAGACAAAAAAACAAAAAACAAACAAAAAAAAACCCC